AAAGGAAGGTCTAAGCCACAGGATGGTTCAGTTTTCTGCATCTCAAGACCCTTAACTGTTGTGTGTTCTCATGTGGCTGCAGCCAGCAGTCAGAGTGAATGAACTAGGAAGAGTACAAAATGAGGTTTGAAATGCGGTATTATTTTGAAACTAAGATTTCTTTGCTCATAAAAAACATAAACGATACCAAACCAGCTAAACTAGTAAAAATGATCCTATAATTGAATACCATTGACAATGTATGCAGACACACATGATGATGCTATTTTCTCCAATCATTTTCTCCAATGATTTTTCCCAACGTCAATCAAATCAAAACAACTCCACTAAATCTCTAAACGAATGTGTCTCTCACTCTACTAAATGACTGCCTCATCTTATTATATACTACCTGTAACGGAAACTTCTGTGTAGCTATGCAGTGGGAGTCACCGACTCAGGAAGGAGACACGGGAAGAGCAGTAGCTTTGATGTCAAACACATGATGGTTTATTTGGAGTTAACGGCCGGAGGATTCACATCACAAGTCCAAGAGTCAGAGGTTCTGACTTCACGGTAGAGTTGCCACGTCAATTCTGGAGAGCCTCTCTCTTGCCAGCCCATCTAACTGGTTTCGCAGAGAGTAAACAACATATTTGAGGAGATAGCCTAAACAGTGTGGGAACACAGAGCTACTTGCCTCGGACACTTATGACCTCGAAGATTTTACCTTGGAGTCCACAAATACAGAGAAGGAAGTGTCCCAGTGTACCCACAACACAGACCATCTGTATCCCAGTATTGACCGGTCACAGAATGGGAACAATAACATTATTGGCTAAGCCGCCTGTGTCCTTAAAGAAGGTAAACAGACATCGAGGTTTGTCCTGTATGTTACTAATTGGCGTCTTATGATAATTATTTCCACAACACTACCTATGTTTAAATAAATGTTTTTATGTCATGTTATTTTTACACATTTACTTTAATTTCTAATGGTCATTTATATATTTGTATTGTATTTTTTTTTAATATATATATATTTTGTATTATTCTAAAATGGAGAAACTGTGACAAAACCCAACTCCCCCGGGTTAAGACATTATTCTGACTGATAATGTTAATAATAAAAACATTATTTTGCAGAGGATCATGTTGATCAAGTAATGTCTCACAGTAAGTTTTCCTGATGAAGATCAAAACAGGACTGTTAACTAAGACTAGAAAAGGAGATTTTAGTGTGCAGGTATTTACTTGTTTTAAGTCAACTGCCTTTGTCTTATCACCTGGTTAAATAATATATCAGCTTAGTTCTGTTCAGCTTTTGATCAACCTACAGCAGGTGTATTAAAAATACATTTTATTGCAGAACCTTGTGACTTGGTTTTGGACTTTCACACATCGTCAGGTTATTTTTGTACACTGTGCTATCTGACATGGTTGTACTGGTCCCAGACCCAGTGTGACCCGAATTCCACTCTTGAAGTTGTACAACTGCCTTTAAAATGTGTCAGGACTTATCTTTTCAAACTCCATGGACAATCACGTGTAGGTGGTAATAAAAGAGATTAAGACTCCGACTAGGTTTCCCAGAGGCAAAGAATGTGGTAGAACTTAATCCATATATTAGACTCAACATTATTCACCAGCTTCAGGAAATACAACTTATGCCATCACCTACATGAGTCAAAAAGTTGGAATTGACTATTTTAAATTAGGAGATATTCCTTTATTGCCACACAGCTAGGCTTGTGGAAATAATTTCAGTACGGGCAAGTTTGGAAATAATATAACATTTGAAAGTGGTAAGCTTAGTAACAAATCTCATCACTTAGTCACAAACTCATCTGACTTCCCCAAAAAGCCTTGGCCTCAAAAAACATCATAGGAGCCTAATCTGCATCGAACAGCTTTTACAATCATTAAATCTACGACAACTCCCAAACTGACAAATATTCTCTAATGTTACACCCCCTAAAAGGATGGCTGTAGCAGGCGGTTATACCACAAGAAAAAACGAATCTCAACACAGTAATGCCAAAGCAAACATCTAAGAAAACTTATTTTTAATGTTAGGCAAATATTGCAGGAAAAAAAGTAAATCAAGAACCCTGCACACACATTATGTCACAAACATACAAAGACCCCCTTCCCCCAGCAACAAACGGTTGTGTCTGCTGCCGTCTGGCAGGCTGTACCCAGCATCAGGACAAAGATCACCAGACTTAGGGACAGTTTTATCCAACAGGCCAAAAGACTGCTAAACTTGCACCATTTGTATTGTTTTTTTGTATTCGTTTTATGTCTTTTTTATATTTATGTTGCTATAGAGAACCGCAGTGACGCGTCCTAAAACCCGGAAGTAAGTTAGCATTTTTACCACGTCCGGTTCCTTCGATAAAAAGCAATGCAATTTCTCCATAGGATTTTGGAAAATAGCTCCAAATAAGGTCTGTGTTTGACACAAATTGAAGAGACAGATCACGTTTTGTTCTACGACATTAAATCCATCAGCAGTGATCCCGCTGGTGATTTTTGAAAAGTTTACGTGTCTGAAAAACGATGGTTGTTAACAAGTGGCTGAATAGGACTACAGAAGTTGTCCAGGTCGTTTTACGTCATTATACCGAACACGTAAAACACTCCCGCTAAGTTTGTTTGCCCTGTTCTGCTTGAAAGCAAGTGCCTGCCTCCTGCAAACTGTTCAAACACTTCAACTTGTTCCATTTACAATCTGTGTGTTTGAATATGGATCTTAAGTTGGCGTGACGTTGAAGCCGCGACCCTGCTAGTTCCTTTATAGCATAACGTTAGCATTTTGCGACTAGATTTATGCTTCGAAAATTATAAAAGTAGGATAGACATGTGGATATTATCCGGCTGAACAAAACGTGATCCGTCTTTTAAATGTGTCTCAACCACAGACCTTATTTCGAGCTATTTTCAAAAATCCTATGGACAAATTGCATTGCGTTTTTGACGAAGGAACCGGAAGGAGTTTATATCCGGGTTTTAGGACGCGTCACTGCGGTTCTCTATGTTGGAGGAACCTGTGACCCAAGGTTTTCATTGCACAACTACACTGTAGCTGTGTATATGACATTACAACCTTTGAACCTTTTGAACATAAAGTACTACTAAATTTTAGTAGGGACTCTAAGTTATCCCTACCTCTGTTCACATAAAGCCATGAGCTTGCTGTGTTGCGATGTCCAGGGACTACAGATGAAAAATAGCCTCCTGACTAGCATTTATAAAAATGTCCATTAATGTGCACTTTACCTGTTAAAATCAACTAATACACTTTAATAATGTATCAAGGTCTAGTCAATTACGGTTAATAACAAAATACACGTTAAATGTGAGACGGTGAAACTCAGTTGTACATGTTGAATCTGAATACATGTAATGATGACGATGATATAACCATGACATATGGGTCAAAGTGTATCCTAATGACTTCATCAACTCAGTATGATGCTGATTTCCAGCGTTGTCACGTGAGTCAACCCACCGATTGTAGTGCTCACAATAACATGATGTAAAAAGTAATCTCTTTAAATTGCTGCATTTTGCCTTTAAGTACAACATATGTGTATTTTTAGAATTAAGTAAACGGGTCATTCATATACTGCTGCAATCGTTTTTAATTAATTTGACAAACCCCCAAAGTAACATTAGTAAGGAGCTAACCAGAACTTCACCGTTTGGCCCCTGGTCTTGATAACTTTAACTACATGGTGATGTGGCTGCAGTCAAACCAACTAGCTACAAAACCCTTTATATATTATGTAAACTTAAACCCTTCTAACAAACATGCTTATAAAAACTGTAAACACCAACACTGTCGCTTTACTGTAACTATATTATTGTGATCGAGCTAGTTTCCATGGTACCCGTTAGCCGTCAGGTGGGATCTGCTAACCTACCTTTATCAAAGTATGAAAACGCTCTTACCTGTGTTCACTTTATGGGAGGGTACAACAGCAGGTTGTGTTTTGACGATTAAAGCGGCTTTTAAACTGACATCATCTGTGTAAATCTCCAGGTGGCTAGCTAAGTAGCACGTTATCAAGCTAAATTCTGGCAAAGTCGTATATTTCCATGTCAAATGTAAGTTGAAGACTTAGTGCGCATGTGCAGTCATTTAACTCTTCTGATTGGTCGAGGAGTAAGCTTTGTGGGCCCTGGGTTTAGCCTGTCAGGCCGTCTATTCTTATAATCATCTCAACCAGCTTCAACAGCAGTGGAATAAGTACCCAGATACTTTATTTAAGTAAAAGTAGTAATATTACAGTATATGAATAATACAGTATTCGTATACTAGTAAGCAATACTTTGGCTTTACACATAGGTTTGAAGTCAAAGTATTGCTTTCCAAATCTTACTTGATGCAAATTATTGACATAAAAATATACTTCAAGTACCAAGGGTGAAAGTACTGATTATTCATAAAATATAATTATTGATGCATTAAATCTGTCAAGGTGGGGCTAATTAGTTTATACACTATTGTATACAATATAATCAATTTTAATTAATTTTTTTATAACGTATTATTTAAAAGAACATTTGTAAAGAAATGAAAAGTAAATTATGTTAAAAGCAAATAAGCAGTTTGTAAACCAACATTCAGCAGGTCAAAGACCAGTGTGTACAAAGGAAAATGAAATGAAATAGAAAAATAAATACATTTAAAACGTTTTAAAATGTAAGGTGAACAATATAATAATAATATAATATAATAATTAATCAGTGACCACAGAAAGTTAATACTATAAACTATAGTATATTTACTATATGCTTTTTAAATATAAATTAGTACGTACAGTTTATGTTATAAGGGTGTATGTGTCTATGTATAATTTGAATTTAACAACAAACAATGAAGTTTGTTACAAGGACAGATCATGGATGTATAATGGGAGAGATGCCTTGCATGTTCTGACCAGCTGGTTCTGACGTGCCATTAAAGTGCTTCTAGATCACGTTTCTTTAATTCTTCTCGCGATATTCCGGCTACTGTGGGGTAACTAACGTTACACATCACATATCCCAGCAGCTAACTTAGCTAAAGCTAGGCTAACTAGCTGCTACAGAGTGACATGTAGTCAACTTTACAACCAGTCTCAATGAAGGAGCTTCCACAGTGATTTGGACATGGAGATAAGAAATATCAAAGACCAGGTAGTAAATAAAGCTTAATGTTAGATAACTAACAGTGCCGTTACTTCTCACAAACAGTGCAGCTAGTCATGTTAGCAACATGTCGAGCAAAGTTTGCTACGAGGCTAGTAAATGATACAACATCTTTGCAATGCAGACCAAGACTAAGTTTTAATTTGATGTTCGAAATTACCTTTTTTTTAATGCAACCAGACCACATATTGAGGTCATTGGGCTCACTGGTACACGAAGTACAAACCCTTCCAAACAAACATTGTAATCTTTAAATGGAATCACATTTCTCACTTGTATGATACGATTGCTAAACGTTATATGTGGAAGATAAATCTAGGCAAGTCATTGCTATATATAATAGTTGCAAAAAGTTGTAGGAGTTTTGCATGATTGAAACAACTCAAGTATTTCACTTCAGTCAGTAAATCCCAATGCAATAAAAAAGCTTTGAGTTGAACGTGATGTGCTAATCTTTACAGGAAAAGCATTATTACTAATACAATATTGTTTCTCGAGACAATGACATTTCCCCAGGAAATGCACAGAGAGCAGCTTGTTACTTACTCTTTACTCCGACATGTAACAGTTTTATTACAACTCAGCAAAACCATGAATGTATCTTTGAGTGAGATTCAATAAGTGTGCTGAAGAACTGCACCTAATTTGCATGTGATGTCAAAAGTATCCTGGTGTTTTTGGTCTGTTTATCATGTCACATCTCTCTTCCAGTCTCCATTGGTCCAGGCTATTTTTAGCCGAAACACAGAAGAAGTGACATTTTTATTGGACCATAATGAAGATGTCAATTCTTTGGTAATATTGTCCCACATTTACTCTGCTATAACGTTGTTGTTGTGTGAAAGTAGAATATATCATATTTTGGGTCAATTGTTAATGGCAGGCTATATTAAATGATGACACATTGTTCTGCTGTAGTCTAGTGGCCTTTGTGGCTGCCATCATAGCTTTTCTTTAATTTAAATTCAAGCTTATATATGTTTCTGTTATTGCCGAGTTTGAAAAACAACTATTACTGAAACATTTGATGCAAAATGTAACTTTGATTAAAAATATATATGGAAAGAGTTTAATAAGAAAATAACTATGATAACCTTTTCAGAATATACCAAGAAAGACATATAATACAAGTATAACCTAAAAAACTTTTTTTTAAAAACGTTTGTTTTTCTTTTTTCTCAGGACCAAGAACAAAGCTCACCCCTTCATGCTGCCGCCTATTCGGGGGATGTCCAAACTATGGACCTACTTATTACTTCTGGTACAAAAACCTTATCTTAATTTGAAAAAGATCACAGTAAATGGAATCTACATACACTTGCGTATTTTTGTATTGCCCTTTTCTAGTAAACTACAGAGGATCTGAAATGTTGTCAAAATGTATATCTAATTTTGCTTTTGTGTCTGTTACAGGTGCAAAAGTCAACGCTAAGGACCGGGGTTTGCTGACTCCCTTACATAGAGCAGCAGCCTCTAGAAATGAAGTATGTCCCCATTTTTATTATTTCAAAATACAGAGGATAGAAGGGGCTTGACCACAAGATATTTTGGTTTGACAAAATGTTATCTTTGTGTTGCAACTCAGAAAGCTGTTGAACTGTTACTGAAGCACGGAGCAAAGGTCAACCCTCAGGACAAGTACTGGCATACACCTTTACACATGGCAGCTGCAAAGTGGGCCACAGGCTGTGCCGAAGCTCTGATACCACACATGTGCAGCATGGATGTTGCTGACAGGTCAGGGAGGACGCCACTACATCACGCAGCGCACAGCGGTCATGAAGAGGTGAAGTTGTTTGTCTTCCTCCTGACTTCTTTCCATGTCCCAAGTCACTATCTATCCTCTATTATCATAATGGCTGCAAACAAGGACTTTGGATAGATATTCTGTCAACTGATTAATTGATTGGGACTAGTTGTTGCAACTGTAGTAACCATTTTATTATGTTTCTGCAGATGGTGAACTTGCTCCTTAAAAAAGGTGCCACTGTGAGTGCCAAAGATAAGAAGGAAAGGCAGGCAATTCACTGGGCTGCACACCTCGGTAAGTGGTGACATTGGACAGAAAGACACACATTTATTTGCATGTAAGTCTCGTAAGCCAAGTCTGCAAACAGGCCAATAGGAAAGATGGTGTGTTGTGTATGTGCATTGTAGAGACTTGTGGTTAATGTTAAGCTTTTCTTTCAGGACATGTGGATGTTGTGAAGCTTCTTGTGTCAAACGGTGCGGATGTGACGTGCAAGGACAAACGCGGTTACACTCCGCTCCATGCTGCAGCTGCCAGTGGACAGTTAGACATGGTCAAATACCTGTTGAGACTGGTGGTGGAGGTAAAGTATCTCAGTCATATCAGTACTGTATGCTCTGTAAAGAACCATATCTTCAAATGTGCTTAACACTGCTGCATAGGGGAGAAGTGCATTTATATAAATGTGAATTTTTAAACAAACCAACTCTTTCAAATCAGACTTATTTTTTCCTCCTTTTACAGATTCCTCCAGGCCTTTCTTGGTCCCTTGACTTTACACTGATAATACACTTCAGTGTTTCATAGTCTCGTGCTTTCAAATCACCAGCGTTTTTTCTTCTAATCAACTAATCAATTGTTTTCCTCCTCTATCTCTCAGACTGATGAACCTAACACCTTTGGGAGCACAGCGCTGCACATGGCCTGTCACACGGGGCAGGACGCTGTGGCCTCTGAGCTGGTCAACTGTGGTGCCAACATCAATCTGCCCAACCACCATGGCAGCACGCCACTACACCTGTCTGCCGCCTCTTCCAGCGGGGTGCTGTGTCTCGAGCTGCTAATTAACAATGGTGCTGATGTCAACGTGCAGGTAGTGAGACCACTTCTATCTTCTATAGGGATTTACAAAGCATATTAAATGCTTCTTGTTTACGATAATACGATAACATTGGTCAGATCAAGTCTGAAATGTGACTTGCATCACAGCAGCTCATTTTGTAACATCAACATGGACAAATATCAAGACACAATACATGAAAAAGAAAGACCCTTTAGCGTGCATTTGATCTGGGATGTAGCTCTGTATTTACTGTGAGGATTGACTGGTGCACAAAGGAGTGCTTCAGTCTGACTTTATTGAATCGAGGGACCACTTACACTTATAAACATACTTTCTTATATACTAACAGTCATAAAACATTATAGATGAGGCTTATAATTAATTATCATTATAAGCATTACAAATAATAAAAACTGCATCATGACGTGCATCACTTAAGATGCTTAATAGATTATTTAATACAATTAATTGCATCACAATTCATTTACTACATCAATCAAAAAAATTAAGATGACACATGCATTATATCAAGATGTACTGCACTTTACTTTTCAATGACAACTTACCATAATGGATGGAATATTAAAGCACACAGAGTCCTGCTGCAGTTGATTGTTGAGGACTGTACATGTTAGTAAATGTGGGCTTCAAAGAAAGTGTTAAGTGATACTGGATTGTAGTCAATGTTTAAACTTTAGAGGATTCAAAGAACATGTACTGATTGTAAGTATATATGCCATTTTTTTAACTAAACATGTTTTCTTATTCTCTGTTGACAGAATAAAGAAGGGAAAAGCCCTCTGCATATGGCCGCAATGCACGGGCGCTTCACAGGCTCTCAGATTCTGATCCAAAATGGTAACAAAGCCCAGCATCACAGTTCTCTCTCACAATCCACTCCAACTTGAATGATCATCAACGTCTTCAAATGAAACCCATGACATACTCACATCTTCCTCTGCACACAGGTGGGGAGATCGACTGCACTGATATGTTTGGAAACACCCCTCTTCATGTTGCTGCCAGATATGGTCAGGAGCTGCTGATCAGCACTCTGCTGACCAACGGTGCTGATAAGACCAAGTAAGGCCAAACCTGAGAGTCTTCCATGTTTGTCTTTGGTTTTGTTTATGATAAACATTATTACACAACTTGATACACATGATTTTGTATTTTTGGAGAGAACTGATTAAGCTGCACATTCACTGTTAATGCTCCAAACTAACAAATACAAAATGTAATACTAAATCATCTTTGTAATGATCTTCAAAGACAGGGTATTCATGGGATGCTTCCACTGCATTTGGCAGCGCTCTACGGATATCCAGACTGCTGTCGAAAGTTATTGTCCAATGGTGAGAATCTCTTTGAGTCTATAAACTCCTTAATTTATCATCTCCTTTTAAAAAAGATGTTTACTAACACGACTCAATATGTTTCCACTTAACAAAGTCTTATTGTTGGTTGTGTATCACTCAGGCCAGTTTTACATCATGCCGTCTCAAGTGCCGTCAGCAGGGGATGATATTAACGTCTTAGACGACCATGGAAGGACCTGCCTGCATGCAGCTGCCTCTGGAGGGTGAGCCAACACACACACACACACATTAGGGGTGTATTCAAATATCAATACACTTGAGTATTGGGAGATTATATATTATTCTCAAACACTATACATTTACTAATTAACAGTTAACATGCCAGGATTTGTGGCAGACAGAGGCTTAGTTTGCACAAAGAATACCGCTATGATAAATCGAATTGTTTTGAAACTTTTACATTAGTTTAGACCAGGGGTGTCAAACTCAAGGCCCGGGGGCCAAATCCGGGCCGTGACTTCATTTTCTGTGGCCCCACAAGAGCTTGCAAAGAATATGATATGTTTATTATACGGTTACATGATGATTTACAGAAGCACGTTGCCCATAAACTACATGTCCCACACTGCATCTCAAATTAGACTATTTTCTCAGAATTTTACTTTTGTTCTTTTAAAATGTTACTTTTTTTTTTAAATGTTACTTTTTTTGTAAATGTCACTTCCTTTTTAAAAAAAGGTCACTTCTGTTTTTTGATTGTGACTTGTTTTCCAGAATGTGGATTTTCTGTTTAAATCCTTTTGTGACATGCACACTGAAGAGACTTGCAATTATTTGCCCCAGACTTCTGCTTTCAGACGTAGTTAATTATGAAGTTATTACCCTATCCAATAATAATCTAATGCAGTGGCAATAATGTAATATACTACATTATTTTACATATATTTATATATGTATTTTTATATAGTCTTAAAGTTACAACCGGCCCTTTGAGTGCAGCCATAATGCTGATGTGGCATTTGACACCCCTGGTTTAGACCTTGTGCATGTAGTGTTGTGTTCTTTATAATATGGGATAGTTTTTCTTAAAAAAAACATCAATATATTACATGCTCACATTATCACAATATAATAAAGCCTATCCCCTGTGTGGCTTGGAAAACCCTGGTAAAAAACCATGTGCCTACTAGTGCTCTGGCTCCCACCTCCACCTGTCTCCAATATATAAAATTACACCAGGTGCTCTAATCACCCAGTGCCCAAACCTGCCTTCAAAATAAAAGCATATAAACCACTTTAACTTATGACACTAACTAAGAATACATTTACAATAAACACTATAAACAGCAAGTAAATAAATGTTAAACTATTAAATAATATAAAGCGATATATAGCTCCAACATTCCGGCCCCTAATTGTGACCTGTGTAAACGCACAATTACTTAAATATATATATAAATGGAGCTATACTCTATTTTTATCCTATCCATACAACATACAAATAATCATAGTTTTCAGGCAACAGCTTCCTGGAAATGAAGTGGAGAAAAAAAAGGAAAGGCTTAAGGAAAAGAGATATATGAAACCTGTTCATTGTTTTTTGTTTTTGGAATAAAATGCACAAATGGAGGTTCTTGTTTGGACTTGGATGATCATTGCCCTGCGTAAGATCCGCTAACTAGTGCCTCAGCGGCTGTTTTAGTTCTATAGGATTTTGGCCACTACATCTGTCTTTTCCAACATTATATGTATATTTTTGGCTATTAGCTTTGCTTAAATTGACATGTATTTGCTTGAAACACTACTGACTACTCTTTCCTCTTGCAACAGAAATGTAGACTGTCTGAACTTGCTGTTGAATAGTGCCAATGCCGATCTGGATGCAAAGGATCATTTGGGGCGGTAAGAATAGCTGAATATCTGTTGTTAAAACTTTAAATCTGTTTTGGTGTTACCTGATATCACAGCTGTCTGTCTCCCTGTTGCTCCGTGCAGATCCCCTCTGCACTACACTGCAGCTAACGGGAACAGCCAGTGCACCATCTCCATGGTGAGAGCCGGCGCTGCCGTCAATGAGCTGGACCTGACGGGCTGCAGCCCCCTGCACTACGCCGCCGCTTCACACACCTTTTGTGGGTGAGGGACCTTTACTGCCATTTCAATGTTTTACTCACTTTGCTCAGAGGGGCAAGTACAACATCATGTGGAGAGTTCTTCATTGTTAATCCTCAATTCATCTAGGTGCGTTGTTAAATGATCCATCTTTTCCTTCAACAGGGGAGAGACGAGCTCTGAGTCTGAACACAGTGAGGGAAAGGAACACGAAGCCTCTCTGTAAGTCATCATTTATATCCTATCACACATATTGGTAATCATAAAGTAAAAGAACACATTATATATCATTGTTATTGCATCTAGAATTATGTTAACATTTGTGTTGACATGTTGTAACCGAGCAAACCTTAGTTTTCATTATTTCAAAACAAATTAAGAATAACATCAGAGTTAAAAATGTGTATTATGATTACTATATCGTTTTTTACATTTGTCTTTGTCTGCCTGCCTTAGCACCTTTCTTAATCTTGTGCTCTGTGTGTTTAGGTGTTTAGATTTCTTGCTTGACAGCGGGGCAAACCCAACTCTGAAGAACAGTAAGGGTTACAGCGCCGTCCACTATGCAGCAGCTTATGGGAACAAACAGCACCTGGAACTGGTCAGTGGTATCTTTGATTTAGATCATTTTTGAAATGTTTGTTAAGTGCTTGCAGGCTCAACCAACAGTAGTTTAAGTGTGAGATGTTTCTTCTTGTCCCCTTCATGCAGCTCCTGGAGATTTCATTCAACTGTCTAGAAGAGGTTGAGAGTAATATTCCAGTCAGTCCTCTGCACTTAGCTGTGAGTAGCACTCAGATCAGTTATTACTTTTAAACTTTACGTTTACAAGCCTCTAACAATACTGTTTTATGCATTCTGCTGTCACAGGCGTATTATGGTCACTGTGATGCACTGCGTTTGCTTTGTGAGACCCTTGTGAATCTGGATGTGCGGGACATTGAAGGCAGGACGGCCCTCCACCTGGCCGCTCAGAGAGGCTTTGCCCCGTGTGTGGAGGTGCTGCTGAAGCACCAAGCCTCTTTCTCCCTGAAGGAGCAGAAGCGCAAGTGGACGGCGCTCCATGCTGCAGGTGTGTGTAACGAGAGTGAAAAGTAATGTTTTATAGTTAAGAAATAATGATTTACATTTCTATGTTTTAACGTCTACCCTCTATGTGATGAATCTTTGTGAATCTGATTTGTTATGTTACTGTTTCCTCCTGTGTAGCTGCTGAAGGCCACATGGACTGTTTGCTGTTATTGGTCAATGAAGAACAAAGTGCTGAAGTCATCGACAGTCCTGATACACAGGGAAAGTGAGTCACTTCAGATGTATTGCTTTAATATGTCATCGTTGGATAGTTAGATAAACACCTGACATATACAGTGTTTATATACATTATGATTCTTTTACAAGCCTGTGTAAACACCAGATTTGGTTTGCATACAGAACAGACAGCTAGTGGTCTGTGACGAGGTATTCTCTGAATTTGACAAACTGTGTTGAATTAGAATTGCTGACTGCAACGTTAACAAAGTATTTCTAATTGAAAGCTGCACACTAATAATGCAATCTGGTTATTCCAATCAATGTTCACTTTTCTGACACAATCAAAAAAACTGTTATTATTATTATATTAACAGTTTGAAGCGCAGGCATCTCTCTTTCCATCCCCAATGTTTAAAAGCACCGCCTTAGAGTCTGTATTTCCTTGTTCATGTCCACCATACAGTTATTTAGTTTATCCTTAAATGTAATTACTTTTTCCTTGTTTATGCTATAGTTGTAATGTGTAAAATAATTGAAGAGACAACAATAATATACATTGAACCACATTCCCCTGGGATTTCCTTTTCCAACGTCCTCACAGCAGACAATAATGATTATTTTTGTCATATGCAGGACGGCTCTCATGCTTGCAGCTCTGGGATGTCACACCGACTGTGTCCACATCCTGTTGGAGAAAGGAGCAAAGGCTGACTCTGCGGACAAGAAGGGCTTCACTGCATTACACAGAGCTGTAGGTGTACTTGCTGTGCTACTGTACATGTCCTATCATTTTATTATGGCAATTAATAACAAAAACAAGTGCCATGCCCCTTTGGAGAGTCGTTTGTCTTCTTCTCCCCTCATATCTTGTGTCTTCCCGCTGCAGGCGATGCTAGGCAGTGAGGACTGTGCCTCTGCTCTGTTGGAGCACGGGGCCTCTGCGCTGTGTAGAGACTCTCAGGGAAGTACCCCGCTGCACCTCGTAGCGTCCCGCGGCCACACAGAGCTGCTCCGGACTCTGCTGAAGGCTGCTGTGAAAGCTGACCCTCTGGACTCCATACTGGACTTCAGAGGCTACACGCCCACACACTGGGCTGCTCACTACGGTGAGACATCAGAGCAAACGCTCAAACAACTCATGCAATATAATCAAAGTCTCATTTTTGCCGTTTAGTGGTCACTACAACTCATGTAAAAAAACGTTCTATCTAAAAAGACCATCGCAAAAAACATAACTATTTCTGTATTAGCGTTGTTTTTTCCGATTTGAATATGGATGATTTATATATTTGTTTCCTTTGTCTATAGGGCATGAAGGATGTTTACACATTTTACTTGAAAACAAGCTTTTTAGCAACCAGGAGGGACATTTCTTCACTGCATTGCACTGTGCTCTGTGAGTACTGTATTTCAAATAAATGCTCATACATGTTTTTTATAAATAAATAAATTGAATGTGTTTTTTTCAAAATGTAACACCTCTGTTCTTCCCACACAGAGTAAATGGACATGACGTTGCTGCTGGACTGATAGTGAAGACTGTTGGCCCTCAAATAGTTAAAGTTAGCGATGCCAAAGGAAGGTGGGTTCTGCTCTGAGTTGAGCTCTACTAATCATAATGCAGCACTGCCCTTATGGATCAGTCTACGATGATTGTCAATGTTTATTTTCAATTCAGGCATGCATTTTGCAAACAACGGTTTGCAACTAAATCGTGAGGGCTGTACTCTAATACTCTGTATGCTCTCCATTTGGTCTGTGTTTGGTTGGTTAAGAGAAACTTGTCTTGATGATTCAGATTTCGTATTTTGCCTGAATCAGAATATGTTAGAAAGTGCTTTTTTCAGCCTCTTTTATATCATATTAAACTGAAAGTCTTTTGACTGACAGCAAAACATTTGAAGACATTCTCTTGACATTGAAACTGAGATGGACACTTTTTTAGTTAATAAGTTAATTTATAAAATAATTGGAGATGTATTGATCATGTTATTTAAATGCAGGACCCCATTGCATGCGGCTGCTCATTCAGGAAACGTTGCCGGGCTCCAGCTGGTCCTGTTACAGGGAGCAGACATCAACGCTGTGGATCTCTGTGGATGCTCTGCAGTGATGGTTGCTGCTGACTGTGGACAGACTCAGGCTGTTGGTATGTGATTGAAATGAGTGTGGTCTTAATGTGCATCATAAACCTCAAAACACACCAGGGCCATTTTCAGCTCACGGAGAGGACAAAACGACACAATGTTTTCTACAAGAGATACTCAAGGTCCCTCTTTCATCCATGGTCCCTCTACTGTCATTTATTTTCAAGCACTTGATTGCACAAAGACAAAGGTATTGTTACATTTCCTTTTAGCATGTGTGAACTGTTTTGACCCTCACAGTCCTCACTGCTGGGAACCTTTTTAAAACACTATATAAATGTGTTCTCCAGTTGCACTGATTGTAAGTTGCTATATGTTTGAAAGGTCTGTGCTTGTTGTGAAAGGTTTCTTATTTTCTGCATTTCAGAGTTCTTGCTGCACAAAGCGAAGCCAGACCTGACGCTGGTGGATGTCAATAGTAACACTGCCCTTCACTTAGCCTGCAGCAAGGTCACATACACACACATAAAGATGCACTGCATGCTTGAAATGGCACAACAATTCATTTTGCATGTGTGTTTAAAATGTAATCAAATGTCTTTTCAAAAATCTCTTGATTGATATTTCTTTATTTAGTACAATTGAATGTACCCTTCAGTTGCTTATAGTGTTGTTATGCTATAACATTGAATGGTGTGAAACTTAGTAATGAATGCAAATTAAATATCGTAATTTACAGCATTGACAACCTATAACATTCCAGGCAGTTTGTTCTAAGTGATATATGCACTTTAATAATATTGTACAATGTGTTTCATTCTGCAGGGTCATGAGATGTGTGCCCTGTTGATCCTCGGAGAGATCAACGACTCTTCCCTCATAAATGCAGCAAACAACACTCTCCAAATGTGAGTCGTCCCGAAGTGCTATACGTTATTTTCAAATTGGAAAACAATTACCTTTTTTTAAATGTGTGAAAAAGGATATCATCCAGTATAAATTCAGAAGTCAAGTATAACGTACGTAATACAGTGTTTTGTGGAAAACATCATTGGAAAAATAAATGTTTGAGACTTAATTATACATTAATTCTGATAATGTACTAAAGGTTACCCTAATAAAAGCTGCAAGCAAAGGCACCCTGATATCATCAAAGGAAATGTGTCCATGATTTTAATGTTGACTCGCCTGCCATTGACCCCCGTTGCACTGCATGTGCTATTCTTTTTCAAATATGAAATACTTGTCTTTTATTCTCATGCAGGCCTCTTCACATAGCAGCAAGGAAAGGCCTGACCACTGTAGTGCAGGTGTTATTGGGCAGAGGAGCAGCGGTGATGGCTGTCGATCAGGAAGGTAAGCAGGAATATTTATATAATCCAATACCAAAGCAGTCCTTGTTTCTGAAGTACTGAATGATCATTCTTTCCCCATTGTCCCTCTTCAGGCCACACACCGGCTCTTGCTTGCGCCCCAAACAAGAACGTGGCGGACTGTCTCGCCCTGATCCTCTCCACCATGAAGCCTTTCCCCCCCAGAGAGGCCAGCGCTGGTACAGCCTCTCATTTCAGCCCCATCCTGAAGAACTGCGGCATCGCTGCCAGCTGTGGGTCCAGCGGTAACCTCTGTCACGCCTAATACAGCAGCCGCATGTCCTGTAGGCGTGTCACCATAATTACTGCTGCTTTACAAGATATCACTGATATAATTGTCATTTTAAGACCATTTCATACCACTTATATAATATCACGATATTAAAGCATAATAATGCAAGTATCCCATTTTAAAGAGCAATGGAGTAAATTGAGAATTAAGAATTCAAACATAAATTAATTAAAACCACACAACCCAAAAAAAAAATGAAATTGACTCTCGGGCTCAGCATACAAAATTGCACTTAAATTAATATAGAACATTTGACACGGGGTGTAGAGAATAATTCATTCCTTAGCTTAAACCCACTATGTTCCCACACCAGAGCTTTATAGTGCAACTTTGAAACCAAGTCTATTTGGATCTTTCGTCTTATTCTTTCAAACCTTTTTGTCTGGTCAGGAAAAACACCAACAAGCCTCGAAGTGTGTGTGTGTGTGTGTGTGTGTGTGTGTGTGTGTGTGTGTGTGTGTGTGTGTGTGTGTGTGTGTGTGTGTGTGTGTGTGTGTGTGTGTGTGTGTGTGTGTGTTGTGTGTGTGTGTGTGTGTGTGTGTGTGTGTGTGTGTGTGTGTGTGGTGTGTGTGTGTGTGTGTGTGTGTGTGTGTGTGTGTGTGTGTGTGTGTGTGTGTGTGTGTGTGTGTGTGTGTGTGTGTGTGTGTGTGTGTGTGTGTGGTGTGTGTGTGTGTGTGTGTGTGTGTGTGTGTGTGTGTGTGTGTGTGTGTGTGTGTGTGGGTGGGTGGGTGGGTGGGTGTGTCAGAATTGGGGCTGTGAACTCTGTTGGCATCATGTTAGCTAAAATGTCCATCTTGTGTTAGCAAATATGCATGTTAACACAAGCGGCAAAGTCGGCAAGAATGATCAAAGACATGTCCATATATCATACGATAAGCTTCTAATGTAATTACGCAAGAGGCCTTAGTGGGCTGTGGGCTGGGACAGGTGTACAACGGAGTGAAATTTCACTCTGGTGTAACACAAAGTCTATACACACACACACACACACATCATGCCTCGCTTCTTCTCTAGCACGTGATGACAGCTGCCTGCACATTATGTGCTTATGCACTAGCAGCATCGATTGCTTCTCTAAAATCTAGTCTTACACATTACTAATATTAGCAGACCTCTTAGATTATATATCTGCCACGTGAGTTGAGTTTAGCACACACGTATGTTATTTTAATGAAGTACTAACCATTTGAATGAGAGCGAGTTTTCACATGAGCACACGACACATCCTCTCCACTTGAACCCCGTCCGCTGTCAGTATTGGGGCAAAGTCTCGTTAACCAGCAAAGCCTGAAATCTGCATGTTTGTCTTCAGATGATACACCTGCAAGAGTACCTGGATGGTTGTGTGTTAGTGTTGCGTGTGTGTGTTTGTCAGTAAGAGCTATTTTGCATATTAGACATTGCTTCCTAATATACTTGTTTAAAAAAATAAATAGGTGCTTTAAACCTTTTATGCAATTAATAGGACTATTTTTCTATCCTATCGTGAGTGTAGCAGGCAGTAAGCTGATATGAAAAACCTTATTATTCTAATATTATCATGATTTATACAAGTTACATTTCAGTTTAGTAAAGTCACAAGCATGTCTATAGTAGTAGTTATATAGTTTACAGAGTCTAGTGTATATATAGTTCTTAAAATTACGTTTAAATGAAGTTAACCTTTCTAATTGTGTTATCCTGAAAATCCCAAATTATTGAGAATTAACCTCAGGTCTGCGTACTGTACTGTGAGTGCAATACAAAGCATATTTGAGCTATATGTTGCATAACAAATGTATGACGGGAGTATCACGTAAGCCAGATATGAAAAATGTCTATATGAACCTTTGAAAGCACAGGAAAAAAAAACATTTCAGTCTGAGCTTAACAATCTTTAGCAAATGTGTCATTTCATTTTCTTTTTCAATGTCTTTAACTAGAGATTCATTTCATTATTGATTTAGTTTTGAATAGTTTATTTTTTTCATGATTAAGTTTTAAGAACCCAAGTTGACACCTTTTGAAATCAATGTTTTCTTCGTCAGCAGTCTAAAACCCAAAGATATTTAATTTCCATGGATTTCAAAATAACAAGAGCAGCAAATCCAACATCTTTAAGAAACTGTAACCAGAACATTTTGTTTGGCAAATTACTAAAAAAATGTATAATCAAATTGCCAATTAAATATTTAGTAGGTCAACCTGTCAATTGAATGTTTCAGCAGTTTTTTGTAAATCTATTGTCATTATAATAATGTCAGTGTGCAGTTAACTTTGGGAAAATAAACCACTTGCATCTAAGGACTCTAACAATCACTGTGAAACACGAAGAAATATAAAAGTATATTATTGAATACATAACAGCATTTAACAGTTATCGTTTATTTATTAATAGTTTTTCACCTTTTAAATAAATCAGCAATAAATTGAGGTTTGCTTTCAATATTTGTTTCCTTTTATAATTTGACAGTTGTGCACACACAGACTTAGATATTTGCTAAATTGTATTTTTCCCTAGTAAAATATGCTATGTTATCTAAAGATGGCTTTAAACTATTTGCACTCCGACATTAAAGTTTACATAGTGTCCTTAGGTTTATGCAAATATACAACATTTAAAAGTGCATTTTACAACGTTACCTTTCATGAGACACTAAATCAGTTGGGGCTTTTTTTTGTTTCATTTGAATGGAATTACTGTGAGAAAATGGTTTGACATTTCTAAATGCAAGCACAGTGAAATGATTAATGTTTGTCTTGAGCAAGTGCTCTTTCCCAAACTGTGTGTCTTCTGTACTTTTTACTGAGATTTCAGGGTGTATCTCCCAGCTTGAATACTCTGTGATCTAGTTGTGGATGGCATTGATATGAGAGAACATAAATAAATCACTACCACAAGATGGGTTGTTGCAGAATTTTCTTTCCATTTTCCCTTTTAAGCTCCATGACTGTGTATACACACACAGCTGATCTACAGATACACCCAACAACAAGCTGGTTCTGCATTTGTATGATCGAAAAAGTGAAACACCTTATATGCTCGTTTTTTACATATAATATATGATAATTGAGTTTGTCTGATTGAGGCAGGTTCTAATAGTGTTTAGCATAACGTTTTGCTGCAGGCTGAACAGATTAGTGGCTTACACATGGGTCATTTTATATCAATACGATGTAAATATTTCCTAAAAACCCACATTCCTCTGAATGCACGCCCAGTTTTACATATGACTATGGCTAAGATCAAACTAATAGAGTAGATTCTAAATTCATCTGGTAAACAAAACTGGTTTAGTTCTTAACTTGCTATAAAAATGAATAATACATGAAAACATCAAATTCTTTACAGCGGAACGTAGTCCTGCAAAAATTAAGTTTGTGCTTTGGACCTTTGCAAGTTTCTTCACAATGAAGTTTGATAGTGCACACAGCTCCTGAACTTTTAATTCAACTTTTAATACTGTTCATATTAATGTATCCTTTTTTATTGTATTTTCTTTTGTTATGTTAATCTTTGGGAAATTATATTTCTTGCTTGAATCCATTATTTGTCATTGTTATTCCATTTTTAAATGATCTTACTTTGTTTATGTTATCAGAATCGGAATTCCTTCATTCGTCCCACAAAAGGGACATTTACGTTGTAACAGCAAAGTATAGAGACCAAGAAAATAAAACACTATATTAAAAAAAAAAGGCATGCACATAGTATTTTTTAAATACAAAATGATCACAATTTACAGAAGTACACATTCAGGTAGTAATGCACCAATACACTGAATCAAATTCCATGTAGGCTATGTGAGAAACTAGTTGGCAATAAACCTGATTCTGATTCTGTAGAGGGGTTTTGCTTCGTTTATATCTTGATGTAGTTGCTTCTTGTTGCCGGTAGAGGTAGATAAAGATTGCAGAAACGCTCAGCCTCGATAAATGAAACTGTCCTCTCCCGGCCGCCGTCACCGGCCCGCTGCACAGTGAACGAACGGCAGTTGGTCTTCTTTACCCTTAGCTGTCTCCTAAAGATGGCGAACGTGGTGCTGGAGTTTAAGGCTTCAGCCGGGGACTCCGAGCCCCAGAGCCGCCCGGTGCTCATCATCGGACAGCAGAGCAACCTGCAGAAGGTCTCCTGGAGCCAAATCAAAGGGAAACTGCAGCCGGTCGTTAGCAAAGAGGTATCAATGAAGATGATTGGTTTGGTGACAGCTAATGTTAGCGCTATGCTAATCTAGTTTAATGAATGTAACGTGAACAACACGCTAGGGTTAACTAGTCCCAGGAATATAACGCGAGTGAACTAGGTATTTAGACAATTAGATATAACAACAAGCAGTGGTGGAAGAAGAATTAAGACATTTTACTTTTAAAAGTACCAATTAAATTACTACATTTAAATGCATACACACTCTGCAAAAGTGGAAGGATCAAAAATGTATTTGGAGAACCGAAAGTAAGTAGGCTACTTATTATCTTGTAAATCTGGTTTCAGATTGTTATATTATTCGAGTTAAGTTTATTTCAGATTTATATTATATATAATATTACTGAATTCAAATTCGTGTTGCACATTTTTTGCACACATTTTATGTGCACAGTCTCCTACATTTTCTTCACCATAGGTACATATGGGGCCAATTTTAATTACTTTGTATACTGCTTGGTAGCCTAACATTAATGCCTAATGATGCATTTAGTTGTTTTGTAGTTTGTATAAATAATCACAATTTACCAAGAAACTTGTAAACAGGTATAAAATCATTTAAATTAATTAATATTGGCATCTAAAACATAGTGGCGTATAAGTAAAAAGTAGCATTACATGTTAAGAAATGTACTCGGGTAAAGAACAACTACATCAATAAATGTACAATGAGTGAAAGCTTGTTTTGGGTGGCACTGACAGGTCTGTGCAAAGTCCTCCAAAGGTAATTGTTCAAAGGTGACAGCCAGTCTATGACAATGATTCACCAACATTATAGTTCTGCTTTTTGGTTGTCCAGGGTGGTAAAAGTGCTATGCCATACTTAAGCTGGCCATTGTGACACAGGCTGGACTCTTTGAAGCCTGTCGGTTTTAAAACTCTCATCTTCTTTTATTATTATTATGTTTTTGATCAAATTAACCGTTGGTCACTAATATTGAAGTGATGAGTCTTCAG